CGAGGCATACGGGGAAGGTCAACAAATGCCTTTGATGTCGACCACCGAGGGTCCACATTACCACACTGTGCCGCCAAACAGCTGATCAGCACAGTGCGGCAGCCATTTTGATGTAAATGAAGCGGTGATTATTTAAATCGCCGCTTCATTTCCCTGTGTCTAGAAACCTAATCTACATGGCTCCGTTGATGGAGCCATGTAGTCTAGACATATCCTTAGAGACATCGCTTTGGGGGAGGGGCAAAATCACCTTTATATTGTATTTAAAGTTCAGGTACATTCTTATTTTTTTCCCTGCCTTTTCTCACTAGGCATTAGATGGATTTCTCATTGCACTTACCACTGACGGGATTATTATTTATGTATCTGATAGCGTCTCCTCTCTTCTCGGACATTTACCGGTAAGCTCTAACACCATAATATAATGCTTGGACATCGGATTTTTACTTTAGAATGTCCAAAATGTTACATCTTCTCTGAGGCTTGAGAACATCATGCCTTGGCAGGGGTGGGCATGTACCCCTCCCTTAGCCCAGGAAAGCCCAGGCATTATGCAGAACTCTTCCGGGGCCATGTGATATACCTCAGATACATCCTCCAGGTGGACTTCTGCCTACTTAGCACAATCTGACGCTAAAATTGCCCTAAAGGAGCAAATTCTACCACCCCCATTGGTCCCTCAGCCCTGGTCTACACTAGGCCGTTATTTTGAAATAACCCCCCTTAGGTTGAATTTATAAGTGGAGCATCCACACAACCAAGCCCGTTATTTCAAAATAAGGGGCTGCTTGTTTCTAAAGCCGTACTCCTGCTTTCCATGAAGAATAACATTACTTTTGAAATAGCGGTCATGTGGATGCGCCGCTGCCGCTGTTTCGCAATAACTACTCTCCCAGAGTCATTCGAATGAATTACTCCCTAGGGCTTCCTGGGGCTCTAAGTCGAGATAGCGCATCCACAATATCAGACCCTGCCTTGGACTCATTTCGAGGCTTCCCCATAGGAAGGACATGCTATTTTGATTTTGTAAAATCGGCAGTTATTAAGTTGAATTTAGCTATTTCAAAGTAGTTCCCTCGTGTAGACATGGCCTCAGAATATGTGCTATTTCAACTGCAAGACTTCCATTGACTACCGGGGGTCAGAATTCAGCCCTGTGCAAGAAAAAGCTTTTTGCCGAAACTGTAGTGTCTTAGGGTATGTCTACTCTACAGCGTTATTTCCAAATATCTAATTTTGAAATCGTTATTTCGAAATATATTATTTCGAAATAACGCGTCTACACACAAAATGCAATTTGAAATAGCTTTTTGCTAGTTCGAAATATTGCGTCCACACAGACTGGACGCTGAATCGCATTTAAGGCCAGACGGAACTGGTTCCGGTATGGCATCAGGTCAGAAATTACCTTGTGGCCAGAGCGGCCAGCAGGGCACCGTGGGAAGGGCTGGAGGCCCCCTATTTCGAAATAAGCGTCTACACAGCGCTTATTTTGAAATAGCAATTTCGAAATTGGCGCTATTCCTCATGGAATGAGGTTTACCAATTTTGAAATAAGCCCTCCGCTATTTCAAATTAATTTCGAAATAGCAGTTGGCTTGTGTAGACTCTAGGAAAGTCTACACAAAGTCTAAATAACGGCTGTTATTTCAAAATAACTTTGCTGTGGAGACATACCCTTAGCGACTTAGCCAGCACAAGTGTGCATGAGCAGGGTATATAGCGTGACTGATATTTGGCCTTTTTTTTCAAATCCTACCTTCCTTTTGGGCTAGTAATATTACATACCTGGAATAAATTGCCCAGGCCTGGAATAAATTGTCCATGGAGGTTGTGGAATCTCCATCTCTGGAGATATTTAAGAGTAGGTTACATAAATGTCTGTCAGGGATGGTCTAGACAGTATTTGGTCCTGCCATGAGGGTAGGGGACTGGACTCGATGACCTCTCGAGGTCCCTTCCAGTCCTAGTGTTCTATGATTCTATGATACCTGAGTATTACACCTGGCCACACTGCATACCAGGAGTTACAGCATTCCTTACATGGGGCCTGCTGGTCTGTCAGCTACTTCACCGTGACCCAAAACGTGACTACACATTTACCGAGAAACCCATCCCGTGCTACAATCTCCTCGCACGCCTAGGGTAGTCAGTTTCCAGTCCGTTGGCGTTTGTCATGCACAATGCTAGCCATGTTGTGTCTGCCATGGAGGAGAGAACTAACTGGTCGAGTGCAATGCATTCCTGAGCGTATGTACACAACAGACCCATCGGGAGGGTCCAAAATTACTGTGAAATCTCTAAATAATAGATTTTGCATTAGACTCTCTGATTTAGCTTTAAAAAATGCGGCGTAATAGTCGCCAACGTTTTTTGTTTGACCGTATATCTGAGGCCGCTCATGTGTGTTTTTTTAATCCACCAAGTCTGTGGAAAATATTGTGGTCATGGAATGTGCTCTTGATAATGCTATTTTCCAACAATGTGCAGCTGGTGCAAGAGCTAACTCTCCCCACTTTTGATCAAAAGCACATGGGCATCAGAAGAGTATGTGACCTAAGAAGTTTCTGGGAAGAATCCTAGTAAGCAGCAATTTGATATTGTGGCTATTCCCCCAAAAGTATAGTTGGTTCTAGTATTTGGTGCCAATCGTGCCTATATGACAGCATGTCTTCATCGGATTTTTTGCCATGTTTTAACACATTAACTTACTATGACTGTAAATTCTACCGTAGGCAGGACACAAACCTTAGTTGCTTTATTAGTACAGCAGGTCAAGGAAGATTCACTGAAACCATCTTCCATTGAACTGTGCAGTTCCTCTGAATGGTTTGTGAAATCAAGTTGATTTCACTGTTATATTGGATCAGAAATGTTTGGGTTCTGAACGTACTTTTTGTTTCCCTTTTGCAAATCTTGTTTTGTTGCCTTGTGTTATAAAAAATAGATCCACAAGTTGAAACCGAAACAAAACACTTCAGTCAACCTGCAACACTTCCCTCACCCCATCCCGAATTTTCCTTAATGCAGAATTTTGAACTTTTCAGGTTTTTTCCCCCCAATTTGGAATGAAGCCAAATCTTGAAATCCTTTGGGAAATGAAACTTCCTTCCTCCGCACTGCACTAGTTGCTATTACGAAACTATCAACAAATACTTATTTCCTGGAACAAATGTATCTGTAGTGTCAACACTAGAAATTACAACCTCGTTGGGTTAATTCAAGAAGAGAAGGAAAAAAAAAAACCCCATCACCCCTTGTGTAGATTCTGGAATTGGCACTGTGTTCAGAAGAGATTTGACTTCAGAAATTCACTGACAAATGCTATTAACACTGACTTAACAGATGCCATCAATAGCACCTGAATGTGAAATGCAGATATTTATGAGCTCTACCGTGTATTTAGCTGTACCACTGGGAGAACCTTTCCCTGACCTTTAATGGAGATTGCCTATCTCCTAGAACTGGAAGGGACCTTGAAAGGTCATTGAGTCCAGCCCCCTGCCTTCACAGCAGGGCCAAGTACCATCCCTGACAAATTTTTGCCCCAAATCCCTAAATGGCCTCCACAAGGATTGAACTCACAACCCTGGGTTTAGCAGGCCAATGCTCAAACCACTGAGCTTTCCCTCCCTCAAGACCTGAAGAAGAGCTCTGTGTGGCTCGAAAGCATCTCTCTCTGTCACCCAGGAAAGATGATCCAGTAAAAGATATTCCTTCCCTCAGCTTGTCTCTCTCATTTCCTGGGATGGACCCAGCTACAAGAGCACTGCCTGTTATCTATTTATGTTAGACAAGCAGAGAGGAAGATGAATTTTTGCTGTACAGAAGGCAGAATCACAATTCCTCCCTCTGTCTTCACTGTAACATTGGCCAATGTCACTTCTTTATGTTAAGTGAGGATGTTGGGTCTGCCCTCTGTTTGTGCCTCTTGGCGGGTATATGCTGTACTGTTGAACATGACAAAGCATTCTTTTGTCTCAGTCAGATTTGGTGGACCAAAATATATTGAACTTTCTGCCTGAGCGGGAGCAGAGCGAGGTGTACAAGCTTCTTTCTCCACGGGTGCTCATGACAGACTCGGTTGCGGCTGATTTTCTAAACAGTAAGCACCTCTCAAGACTGGGCTTAAGGGGAAGAGAATAACCGGGCAGCTGGCCCGCTGGAGAGGCACAGTGCTGGCTTTTCTGTGCTATAGCACCTGGGCTCTTTTATAGATTTCTGGAAGAAAAAAAAAAAAGCAGCACATCAGTACATTTGGTATTTGCCCTGGGATGTGCCTTGTATTCTTGCGGTTGCCCTGTATCTCTGATCACAACGGAAGAATGAAATGGATTCATTTCAGCTGACTCCATTAGATTACTCTGCTGGGGTGAGAGTTGCTGTTGAGCCTCTAAGGGTGTGTCTAGACTACAGGGTTTTATCGACAGAAGTGGACTTTTGTCGACAAAACTATACCTGCTTCTATAGTACCGCTGAGTTCTGTCAACGTAACGTTGACAGAACTCGGCAGTTTTGTCGACGGCGGTAAGCCTCATTCTACGAGGAATAATGCCTTTTGTCGATCAAGTTCTGTCGACAGAAGGCTTTATTGCACCCACACTGTCCTTTGCGTCGACACTCTCATGTCAACAAAGCGGCTTGCTGTGTCGACAGAACTGGATGTCGTCTAGACGCTCTTTGTCGACAGAAGCCTGTCGTCTAGACGTATCCTTAAGAGACATAGAATCCACAGCCCAGAGGGAAGCGTTGGCTGGGGAGAGGGGGGAGGGGACTTTGTTTTCTCCTGATGCAGAGGACTGGAGAGGCCCTGGGTGACCTGTCAATATTACAGGCCTCAGCGCTACTTGGGATGTCCTCAGCTCTGCGTGCTACAGCCCTGTCCCTAGCCCCACTCTCAGCCCTGCCTCCAGCAGGGCCTAGTGATGGGGACCCCGGAAGCACCCTTATTACTAGCTCCCACAGTGTCTATGCAGGGAGAGCCCTCCCTCCCTCAGATATGGGATTGTAGGGCTCTTGTATGCTGCTCTTGCCCCATAAGAAGGGTCGGCAGGAGGCAGGGGTGAGCGTAGAGCCAGCATATGGCCTCATAACAGGCCACCTGACATGGGGGGTGGCAAAGGGAGCAATTGCCCCAGGGCCTGGAGCTCCTGGTGACACTGCCGCTACTGGGGCAGCTGGAGCCTCGGGCCCCTTTGAATTGCCGCAGGAGCGCCGTGGCGGGTGCTCCACACAACTCTGAGGGCTGGGGGGAGCATGCTGTGGTCTGGGCAGTGCTAAGGGCTGGCTGCTCTCAGCCCCGCCCCTTTCACCTGAGGCCCCTCCCTTCCTGGAGACATGGAGGCCCCCGACACACCTTGCCCCAGTGCCTGCGGTGGCCGTTGACCCCCCCGCCTCATAAATCTCTACTTAAGTATCATTTAAGCCCTCGACATAGGACATAACCTGGAATTTCATTGGTGCTTACGCTTTGGGCTCACGGGGAAAAGTCACCCTTGCTGCCGATTGTATAAACCAGAGAGTTTGTGCCTCAGAATATACGTTTGTATGTGAGCCTGCGTAAAAGCCCTTTTGGGTCAACGGAAAAATTTTCAGGGCTTTCAGTCAGGTTTATATCAAGCATTGCCCAAAATGCCGCAGTGGTTCAGAGTGACTTGTGTGCAGCGTGGGGGAGTGATTTCTGAAACGCACCATGTGTTGCTGGCTCACTGGTCTGTGCAGACCCTGCTTGTGTGCACTTACAGTTCCCATGGCGCACAAGGAAATCTTTAGTGGGCAGCATGGATCAAATAGTGTGCAAGGAGTTAGTGGCTTTTTGGAAATCAGACTGCCTAGAACAAGCCCTAAAAGACTTCAAGTGCCATCCTGGCCCCGCTGACATTAGTAGCAAAAGTCCCTTTGACTTCAGCAGGGCCAAACTTTCAGCCCTCGTACAGCAGTACAAACAGGCCGTAGAGAATCGGGCCAGGGATGCTTTTCCCGAGTCTGACACGTAAACAAGTTTCTGCACTTGCTGCTGTTTATGTACTTGGGGAGATCGAGAACATCCCAACAGAATGAGCTCAGATATGAGAGTGAGGGGGTCTTCATAAAAACCCAGCTAGATTAGATAGAGGGAGTGTGTGAATGTGCAAACACAGGGACTATTTAAAATGTTCTTCTCTCTCTCTCTCTCTCTCTCTCTCTCTCTCTCTCGTTTCAGCTGAAAAGCAAATAGAGTTTTGCTGCCATTTAGCAAGAGGAAGCTTAGATCCAAATGAGCCCCTAACATATGAATATGTGAAATTTGTAGTGGATTTTAAATATTTTACTCATGGTAAGTTATGACTCCAGAGCACGCTGTCTCTGTCTCTCTCACACTAAGTTTTGACCAGAGCTACCTTAAATGTCTTGTTGCACATAAAAATGACATGTAGACAACAGAATGGAGTGTGCGCTGGGCGTGGTCAGAGTCTATTTCATGTGACAGAGCTGGGGTGGTCATTGGCTGCACGGGTGGGGGTGAAATTCTCCGATTGTTTTTCAAAGAGACTGTATCAGACCAGCCAGGCATTCGGCCTTGTGGTGCTGCACGTTTTTGGAAACAGCCCCGTTCACTCCAAAACAACCTAAAATGCTCTGATTTGATCAGAATTTGAAATGCTTTTTTGTGACCATTAGGGTTACCAGGTGGCTTAAAAAAAATACCAGACACACTTGATCTCAGATGGGGGAGAACACCAGTCAGGAGGGGAGCCGAGTTGGCTGGGAGGATGTGTGCGTGTGTGTGTGTTGGGGGGGTCATGATGTAACAGGTATAGAAGCAATAGAGATGGTGGGAGAAGGATTCCTCTGTGAGCTAGATTGCACACCTCTGGCCCCGCTCCTTCAGGCTTCCTGGGGCTCTGGCTCTGCCCTGCACTATCACGGACTGGAGACTACCTGGTCCTATGCTATGGGTGCTGCCTTGGATCTGGTCTCAGTGCTGTAGGCTGTCAGGGTCTGCTGCTGGCTCCAGTCCCACTGCTGCAGGCTGATCAGTGTTGCTGCCAGCCCAATCCCTGCCCCATCCCACTGCTTCAGCCCAGTCCCAGTTCTAGATAGCCCTCCTGCCACTAGGCTACTGGGCTCTCTGATCCAGGAACAGTGATGGCCATGCCAGACCATGGATGTTGCCGGTTTTGGGAGGTGCAATATTAGGCTAGTGGAAAAGAATGAATAGAGTGTTCTCATTCAGTAAAGCATTTAGGCATGTATGTAACTTTAAACACGTCTGGGACTTGGGAGACCCAGGTTGGATTCCGTACTCCACCTGTGACCTTGGACAAATAACTCGGGGGCAATTTTTAAAGCTATTTAGGTGACAAGAGATGCAGGGAGGTGGTTTTGTTAAACTTATTAGGCTGCTGGCTACAACTTTAGGTGCCTAAATACCCTTTACATATCTGTCTCTTAGTCTCTCCGTGCCTCAGTTCCCCCATCTGCAAATGGCGATAACAGTCCATACCTGCCATGTAGGAGTGTTGTAGATAAGTATATTAAAGATGGTGAGATCCTCACACACTATAGTGATGGAAGCCAGATAAGAATTTTAGGCTGATGAATCCTTTGATTCAGGAAATGGTTGCCCATTTGATGATGTAGTTGACCATCAATTTGTATAGGAAGTCTGCAAAATCCTGAATCTTCCAGGATTGTGGAGGCAAAAATTGCCATTTTCTAGAAATAAAATAGAAAGGAAGGAAGCAAGCAAGCTGGTTGTCTGGATTTAATGTTGAAAATGCCCACATGAATATGCTCAACCCGTCTGCCTGGCTCTAATGCTAACAACCAGTACAAGCTGTAGTACTGGACACTCGGAACAGTGTTCAGGCTTCAGACACGGCATCAGTCATTCATTCTTTCTCCCACTTCCCTTCTGTTTTCACCTGGTAATTTGGACAGCAGACATACTTTTGGAAAGCCTGTCATAGCGGGTTCAATGTTTGCTGCCAGATTCCAGAAGGACCCCTGTTATCAACCCTTCTCCATCAACAACTTTGAAACAACCTCTCCTGTCAGTCACTTAGGGTATGTCTACACTACCCTCCTAGTTCGAACTAGGAGGGTAATGTATGCATACCGCACTTGCTAATGAAGCCCGTGATTTGAATTTCCCGGGCTTCATTACCATAAGCGGGGAGCCGCCATTTTTAAATCCCCGCTGCTTCGAACCCCATGTAGCGCGGCTACACGGGGCTCGAACTAGGTAGTTCGGACTAGG